TATGCACTGTAGACACAGTACTAGTTGGTTGGAACACCAAAAGCTGTAACTGATGTAACTGTGCCCGCGACTTCGCTCGCACGAAATACTGACTTGGATAGCATTTCAATCACTTAGGCTAATCTCTTAATATTACTAAGTTTTATACTGAAACATATTAAACCCACTAAATACTCGCACAAAATTCACATATTCCAATACATCAAAATCAGTCCATGACAATGGTCCCAGGCTCCCGTCCATCAATGTACCAAACCTCATCCAAATTGGCCCAGCAGTTCCCGCTTGAAAGAAGGTCAGATAGACAGACAGACAGATGAAGCCACCCACGCATCAATAAGAATGTTCTGTCCCTATATTATGGAATAGTCAATGATAATTTTCTTTTTCTAATACATAACCTTTTTATATTTAATTTCCAAATTTATTTCCCAGCTTATTTGAGATCTTTCAACCCACAACACAGAGTCACTGACGGTATTCAATTATGTTGAACTTTATATTTAACTTGATGGACAATATTTAAATGCCACTTTAAGTTTTCAATTTATCAGATGTTCAACCAATTTTTTGCGGGTTATTGATAACAAAATCCAGCTTCAACATACCCCGACTGCGACTAGTGTGTCCTCAGCGAGGAGTTGCCTTAACAGCGACTTTTACAATGAATTCCTCCATGACTTGGTCCAATAATTATGCTATAAATAAAGCTATTTCAGAAAGAAAACATTAACCTTTATTTATTATATTTTACGGCAACTGTAGCATGTCATTATCAAAGAAAAACACGTTTCCGCTCTTATTTTTACCAAATTAGAGCAATAAAATCAATTTCAGATGTATTTTAGATACAGAGTCATCTATCGCCGGAAGCGGAAACTACTTATCTGTTTCACAATTATTGAATCGAAATTCGTTTAGTGCACAGTACATCACGAGATTTGAACTTACATATACTCGTAGTTAATAGTATCTCTGGAAACTTCACCAATCCAGCATTAGCCACGGATTCGTTAATAAAGCCAATTATGATGACTTTAGTAACTGGCAATATAATATTAGAAATTGCGTTATACATATTGTAAATATTCATAACAAAACGTAACTAATAGTCAATCACATTTTATATCATTTTGTACTACGTATTTTGTAGTAAGGTGCTTATAACAGGGTTAAAAGAATTACTTCTCAAAAAGACAAAGGAATAGTCACTTACTTGAAAACAATATCGT